TCAGGAAGGGTGGGGGAGGATGTGGCCAGCAACTATCTGTGGATCCTGGGGAGCTTTAGCTTTACCTGAGTCCTGGGGAGCTGCACCCATGGCACTCCTGCAGCTGGGAGCCTGGCACACAGCTGAAGCATGGCTCTGGCAGGCCAGGCTCTGGTTTTGGGAGGTGCATGCTGCCACCAAATGCGCTACCCCCCTTCTTTGTTTGCGCAGGGTATTTTTGACCATGGGACCTCCCAGAGTCAATGCCCCCCCATGCTGCAAGGTAGCAGCGCAGGGAATGGCTGAATTAGTGGTGTGTGGCACTGCAGAAGAGTCTGCAGAGCCCCATACTGCACAGCTGTGCTCGTCTGGACATGGCCTAAGAGGCCAGCATTTTTGCTTACATTCTTGAGACATTACATTGTTTCAGTGGGAAGAGCAAGCAGTTGAGACTCAGAAGACCTAGCTTCTACTCCAAGATCTGTTGCTGACATGCTGTGTGACCTTGGGTTTATCACGTCACCTTTGTGTTGCTGCTTCCCCTCCTAACTTTTGTCTCTCTTGCCTGTTTAGACTGTAGCCCTTGCCTCTAACTATGCATTAGTGCCTGCCACAATGAGATCCTGATTTCAAAAAGCATCTCTAGGCATTAGTGTGATACACATAATAAACAACAAATTTAAAAATAGTAATGAATAAGTAGGGAAACAATCTACTCACCCGGCCCTTTTCAACACACTGGGTTACCATGACAATATTGTGAACATTCTGTTCCCATGCCATCTTCCAGAAATCATCTTTGGTGCCAGGCAGAGGGCCCTGAGTAGCAATGTATTCCCTGCGAAAATTATTGCCCTACAAAAATGAAGAAAGCACCAGTTAATTTCTATAATGCCAGAGAAACAGGCCGTATGGCCTTATGATATGCCTGTGCATTACAGCAGTAACTCCTTTGCTGGGATTATTGATTAAGAACTAAAAGGACTGCCTAAGCTCTGGAACCAGAAGGCTGGTGGGAATAGAGAGGAGGAAGAGAATGTGTCAGTGTATTTAAATATTGTTGGAATATATTTATTAGTCATAGATTTTTTGCCTTTTTATTGCACTCAGTGCTGTGGATTGTTGAACTGATGGGCTTTTTCTGTTTTCAGTTAATTAGCTCAGTACTGGATTGAAATCTTGATTATTGGGGTTTTCCTACTATCAGTCATATTTCTATGGCAAAGGGCACAAGTGTAATCTCAGCCGATTTTGCCAGAACACAAGGTATAAATGCTGTCAGGATGAAATACAACCGCACAAGAACAATGTTACCTGCAGTGATAGTTGTGCTTATTGTAGACACATCAGATAAAAGCACTGCCCTTTGAAAATGTATCCTTGGCCAATTATAACTGTGACCATATATGACTACAGCAATCTAAGGAAGTTATCTTAAATGCTGACTGAATCACTCACAGTTAACTTAACAGCAATCAGACATGGTCTTTCAGCATGCACACAAAACAAGCTCTCATACTTAGTTAAAACCTGTGACTATAAGGAAGGGTGAGGGAGGCCTAATGATGTGTCTGCATATTAAGTTTTATAAAAAGGCAAAATTACCACTGGAGAGAAAAGGACTGTAAAATACTTCACTGAGTCACTTACTGCTATGTAGCTTGCATTAATATAGTCTGAACAGGGATCATCATCTACATTGGAAAGCTTCACTCTTGACACATCATCTGAGAAAAAGATTATGACAAAAGGTTCATAATAGGTCTTGGTTTTTAAAACCTTTCATGTTAATGAAAATGTACATGTGTAAAAATAAAGAGTGTCCTTTCAGGGACAGTCTGAAGGTTCATTTGCAAGAGAAAAATTGCTTACATTCATATAGCGTCTTTCATCAAGGAGGGGATTGCAAAGCACTTTGCAGACAGTAGGCTTTAAGGTGTGTAAAAGGAGTGGGCTAGAGGAGACATCTCCCCAGCTCTTCCACTGCTTACCACAGTCCCATTGTACAATATGTCTAGCTCCTGAAAGAGTAAGTGGGGTAAAGCTGCCACCCATTTAGCCCTGACAGCAGTGTTTTCTATACAGAGAGAACAAAAGTACAGTGCTCTCTTTGAAAAAGCAGCAATATTGTCATTGGCAAGTAAAGTCTCCTAAGGAGAACGCAGGGTGCGTGAGTGGCTAGTGTGCCTCCCAGGTCTGTGACTGTTGCACTGACTTTCCAATTGTGCAGGCAGATTGTGACATAAAAAAAAAAAAAAATCAATACTGCCCCTCCACATAGAAGGGACTCTGCCACCCACCTATACAGGCACATCTGGGTAAAACCTGGCAACTAACATACAAGGCAAAACTACATGTTAACTGAGGACTAGAAATCAAGGTGACTAATACCACAGCCCTTTGAAGTTGCAAGGGA